AAAATGAAAATTAAGGCTAGATGTTAAAGTATTCATTATCTGGGCAGATGGTACAACACCATCCCTCAACTTAGCTTTGGAAGAAGTCATTTACAGTCTTTTTTTTTTCCCCAACAAGTAGTCTAGAGTGACTTTTTTTCCTCCCCTCAATAATTCTTTATATAAATAGGAATTAAAGTCAGCATTCAGAAATGCCATTAATCTCACGATCATTTAAAGCTGAGAAATATTTTGGCATTATACCAAACACCACATTCTAATGAAACAGGTGTTGCATATTTACATACTATACTTTCTATTAACATTTTGACTTCAAATGAAGTGTTTTAGTCTCAGGCTGAGAATGAAGAAACAAAAAAACAAAGCCACCCAAGCCATGAAACCAAAGCAAATATACTACTTTTGATGAACATTATTCAGTAGATTTTTCTTTAAAAATAACAACAAACCAAACCCCCTCCCTCCCCCAATTATTTATATACCTGGTACTCTATTCCGCAACAGAAAACAACTCCCTGTGGACTACAGGCTCTAAGTAAGCTAAGGATCTACACGTCTGACTCCACCTCACTGCAGCACAGCAGCAGTCACATCTCAAGCCACGGGCTCTTTTGGAAGGCGAGGGATGACCTCACTAAGCTTGAGCTAAGCTGACCAGACTCAGGCTGCTTTTATTACCAGCAGTTCTCATTCCCTGCCTGCAACAAGTGCTATAGGTGGCAGCAGCAAAGATGGGAAGCCTCCAAATACTTCAGAAAATTACACAGCTTGTGCTGATGCCTGGGGAAGGCTCACGCACTAATGTTTTCCATAGCCATTATCATTGCTCCCTCACTCTCCTTACTTTCCTTCTCCTTAACTTTCTTTCAAATTAATAAGCAGATTGGAAAGCAAAACAATGTAGTATATTCAAAAGGGAGGACTGTCTCAACAGGTGCGGCCTGAAGGTGTGACTGGGTCAAAAAAGGCCTGAAAAGGCAAGGAAACTTGTTGGCTTGGAGTAGTCCCTCCCCTCGTATCTGTTTCTAGTCACTGTATTATCCCTGTATTAGTATTGAAAATGAAATAGTAATGCTAAAGTTCCTGCTCACTAGTCTCAAAGCACAGAGCACGTCTGCCTGCCACACGCAGTACAGATGCTGTATACACTGGAGAAGGGGTCACACACATACAAACACACACACAGAGAGGCCAAGTTTTTAGCACAGCTGAAGACAATGCATAATTTTCTATTCCCATTTCTGTGCTCCTCCTAAATTTTTTAACAGATGTATTGTTTTTGAAGAGGAACAGAAGTGAAAGAATTGTGAGTATCCTCACAGGAAGGGATGCATTTGGCAGTGATATGTATCAGTGCATATGACTAACAGTTGACATCCTCTGGTATCATAACCACTGTGAACACTGAGGGTAACCACACAGGTGGTGTCTTTATTTCACAAGATTAAAGATACAGTACAAAATGAATCTGTACATCTTTCTATTAACAGAATGTTTACACAACTATATTACATTTGACCAGCCTTTATACTGATTTTAAATACAAAATAAATTTACAAAACTCCTACAAGACCCTTTAAAGAACTGCAGCTGATAAAAACAAAGGGTTCCCCCCAATAGTCCCTATTTGTCATATGCATTTGCAGTAGTTCAAATCAAACTAAATCTTTTTAGTTTAATATTCTCTGAAACAAAAAATAGAATTTCAGTTCATCGTTGCCTATTTAAAAAGGAAGCAACTTGCAAAGGTGAGTGATCCACCTTTATAGGCCAAAACTAGCATATAATAGGTGGAAACTAGATTATGCATAGTCTTAAAAGTCCTTTCACAATCCACATTTTAATGTTTTTCTCCAAAAAGAATAACATTTGATAGTTTTTTTTTTTTTTTTACTTTAACAAGAGCAGCTAACTTATGGAAGATAACAAAAAAAAGTGAGTAAAGCTGTCTCACAATAGTCTCAGTGGGTTGTTTGTATCAAAGACCTTATATTGCATTGTCCCGTGATGGACAAGCAAGGAAAGTTATTTCAACAGTTAGCTCTGGGGCAAGTTTCACCAGATTCATGAAATAGAATCCTGTTTTCTCAACAGTTCAGCATTTCTTTCAACAGCTAGCATGTTGGATTAATAATCTGAGATGTAGAGCAATGTTCTCCCCCATATCTTTCCACAGTTTTCCTACACGTAAAACTCCTGCTGACAACAGTTACTGCCCTGTATTTCCATTCTCCATGGAGGGAGAGAAGAGCATGTCTCTGGGAAGGTCAAACAGTCAGGCTCTGGCCTATGTTACTACAAAGAATACAGTTTTTCCATTCAAAGCACGCCGAATGTACCCAGAAAGGCTTCTCTCAAGTCTCCCTTCTAAAATACTCCTGCATATAAACTGTAAGACAATATGTGTGGTACCAAAAGGGAGCTACTTTAGGAAAAAAGCTGCTGGATAAACTGAGTGCACAAGAAACATATTGCTAGTAAGAGTTAAATATACTTCCTTCGAAATGCAGGTTTCAGAACAGCGTAGCAAGGGATTGTCACAAAAACTTAAGTCATGTTGTAGATAACAGATTTAGAAAACTTACTAATTTCTTTAATCCCTGAGTTAACTTGTCATTACTTATGTTAAGTACCTTTTTACTACTACCACTTCATTCAAATGAATGTCATCTGAAAAAGTTAGTGGTAGTAATTTGGTGAAAGGGGAAAAAAGCAGGAGAAAGACTTCCTTATTGCTTTGTCAAAAAGCAGTTCTTTAAAGTGAAATAGCTTGCTCATCTTCAATCGTTTTCTTCTGCTGATTTTTTGGATATAAAAATGCATCAGGTTCAGTGAAAGTCAGCTATAAGATGGTCACATAGCAGCAATTCTGAGAGATTCTCATGCAAATAGGATAGAGTTCTTAGAATTTAGTTCTAGAAGATCAAACAACCAAAATATTTTAGTAATGCAATAACAAAAATGTTAAATCCTAAGAGACCGATACCAATGGACCAATGGTATTTAACTGAAAAACATCTTCCATATAATCTTTAATTTATTCATGCCAAGCTAAAAAGAGCTATTAAGTGACAGAGGCAAAAATACTTCAGAGGGAGTGTTCAGAAGTCACAGATATCTTAGAAATGCAGCTAGGGAGTGCTGTACATTTTAGACTCTACATTTAAGTTCAATACTGTTCTATATGCTAACGATGATTGAGACTGAGCAAGACATTCTTCTCATATGCTGCAACCCTCCAAACTAAAATGAAAGATTTGTCTTCACATAGCCAGCACAAGCATTTTGGAGTACGAGAAGTTCTACCTGCATTTTTAATACTAGTCATCCATAACATTTCAGTTTACAAAATAGTGGATTGCGTGTCTTCTTTCCCAAACTACAGATACATTGTGCAACAGTCTCCTTAGACATGTACTAGAGTATGAAACATCCCAAAAATCTCATCTCTAAAAAAACCACATTGATATGTTGCTGCCAATCCACTGGAAAAAGGTTTGCATGAAAGGAAGCCCTCAACCCTTTAAACACAACAGCTTTTGTCAGAAAGCAATTAAAAACCTCCTCATTTGTATTTCATTCAGCTTTAAGTCAGCATATTAAGAGGTTTCAATGCTAGCACAGAAACAAGTATGCAACTGCCACTGGTAAATAAGAACAGAAAATTCTGCATTTCTTGCCCCTAATTACTCCCTCACTGCTTCCCACCCCCAGCTCCTGAAACGACGAAAATCATTACTAAATAGGGATTCCTCATGCAGACTAAAAACATCCATTCCTTTACACTCATTACAAGGCCTTTGCACTGACCTGGTGGTATCAAGAAGCCATAAACCGTTAGTCTTCTTTCTCTTTGGAGTTTCTTGTTACAAGGGATCCTCAAAAGATGGCACAGACAGAAACAGTACTTTGACTTGCTCGTGTCTGCCAGGTACAACAGCAGCTGGTGACAGCCAGAGCACTGCTGTAATCTGACATGCAATTTGTACCAATCAGCCAAATTTTGGAGTGGCACCATTGGCATAAGCCCACACCCTTCTGTAGAGAGCATGCATCTTTGGGGCCCTTTTCTGTAGGTGCATTAAACAGATTCATGCACAAGATAACACACATTTCCTTCTCACAGCACAGATCACTTGAAGAATTGTTGAAAATTAAATACAGAACTTCCACCCTAAAAAAAGTAAGCTAACTCACCAAGATTTCTGTCTCTGTCCTTTCTTCAATGTCCACAAGAATACTGGTGCTTTCTGCAACCCAGACTCAGCCTCTTTGTAATAGCAAGTTTAAATAATTCAGGAACACTACCAATTTGTTTTAACACAAGGAAGTATTGCAAAGTACTCAGGCTCCAAAAAAGTTTTAGAAGGATGCGAGCACTGTGTGAATAGTTTTCAAATGAAAAGCTTTACAGGCCCAATCTGTCCCAGTCTGCCTCCTGGGCTACATACTGTCTGCTGAGGACTGTCTCGTCTAAGGGGAATAAAGGAAAATGCTAAAACAAACAAAAAAAAAACCCACAAATGGAAAGTGGCACATTTGCTGGCCTCGTTTTACACAGTTTATAAGTATTTCACTTTAAACCATCCAAGACAGCATAAAAGACCAAAGGGTAAGAAAAACTAAGAAATAATGAAATAAGGATTGTAGAAATACTTGGGATGCAGATCAGAATGTAAGTTCATAGAGTTCTAGTCTTTTTAGATTTTGAATATAGTTCAGCATCTTTGACTTAAATTTGCCATAAAATTATTCTTGTTATTACTTCTGTATAGGGCAACTGCTATCAAGCAGGCAAAAACCTTCCAATGCTAGCCTTCTGCTCTAAGAGATGAAAGGGACTCAGAACGAAGATGAACTAGATACAGCAGGCAACATTTTTATAGTAGCACTCTTGTGTTTCCATGAAAAAAGCCATAGTGTTATTCCATTGGCACTGAAATAACATTCAAATCAGTTTCAAAAGAATTTTCTTATCCCTGAAAAAAAGGCATCATTCTAAGCAGCTTTCAAACTTTTTTTTTAAACCTCTTTGTGCCTCTTTTGGGGGAGGGACTGTTGATCCAAAGTCCTAAATCACAAGGAAAACTGTTCCTTTAGGAAAGTCCAGTCCTTTCAGCGATGCCCTGGTTGCTATTGCGGAGGCTGGTGCTCTGGCGGGGGCTCCTGCGGGGGCGCGGGGGGCCGCAGTCCTGCTGGGCGGGGCACCGCCTGCTGCTGCCGCTGCCTGTACGCTATGATTGTTCCCAGAAGCAAGGCGATGATGGTCATAAGGTAAAGGTCCCACTCAGGCCCCAGCAGCTGGTCCATATCAATATGTGAGAACACCTCCCGTATCTAAGAGACAAGAAGGCCGCATCATCATGTCAAAGAGCAAGAATGGGAAGTCACTTGGATTTTAAATTTGACTTATAACATTTTTCATGTACAGGTACCAGTTTTAAAACTTCAGTAACTCTTTTCCCCTCTGAAAAAAACAGTATGACATCAGTGACAGTCTTAATTTCCAGGAACTAAATGCCAATAAGTTAAGAGCCATGCTGTACAGGATGAGCTATTCTATTTTCTGTTCTAGAGGTGAAGATTCTTGATACGTAACTTTGAGCCTTTCATACACAGAGGACTAAAATACACAGTTTAAATCAGAATGAGGTACGTAACCATATCTGTTGCCCTAAAGAAAGAGGGGCAGGTACTACATACACAGAGATCAGTCCAGCCAAACTGGAAGCCTTCAGCAGTCTACCATGAGTGACCTAACGTTAAGCCCCACTTACGTGGTAGAATGCTGAGATCTGTGCAGACAAGGCAGAGGGAAGTTAAAGTGACTTACTGATAGTTTTGGCTGAACTGTCTTTTTATCAGACTGCTGTCTGCATAAGCATTTGCCAACACACGCTTCATGCTTCACTACTGTATCTGATGGCACTACAGAGCCGTTGTCAATTTAAGTCTGCATCAGAAGATATTAAAAACTTGGAATATATGTGTTCTTCATATGAGCTTCTGTTAGTGCTACACAGGTATTTGCTCAATTGTTTTATTTTGACTGTCCACTCCTGAATGTCTCCAGTCTCAAAACCATTAAATTTTGTCAAACAACTGGAACCCCTGAACTTGTGTTTAGGTTGTGGTAATTTCCACACTATTTGAATTTATTAAGTAATCCAAATGGCAGTGAGATGTCAGAATACCGAGAAGTATTTCAGACACTATATAGAAAGACTTCATCTAAATTGTGGGCACTATTTTAGTACCACCACTTGTCAGAAACTCTGCACAATAGCTAAACTATCTAATACAAATAATATTTTCTTCCCACAGAAATCAAGCACAACTCAGGGGGGTTGTTACAGCTGAATTTAAAGTAGCATGAGATGCAGGGCTACAAAAAAAGCATTTCTTTCTTCCCAAACAGCAATTATGTCATTGTAATAATCTGTTTAACTTTGACAGCAGACGGTCATGGATAGGAGCAGTGAAACAGGTTAGGAAAATGCTCTTCAAGGGAGGAACAGCACAAAAGAGCACTGATCACACATTTAAGTTTCACAGAATTGCACAAATAAGAAACAGGAATCACGGCTTCAGCAACACAAAACACATCTATCCCAAGTCTTCAGAAGGCTCAAGTAAGTAAGGCTGTAATCTTAACTAAGATTACAACTCAATTTTCTTTTAAAAATGCAAACCCACTTATGTTGTTTTTCCTTTTAATTCTGCATTACTTACATTGATTTCTCGTACATATTGCAAAGAATAAATCACTCCAAGCTTGCAAAGTGCTAGGAAGACTGGAACTTGAGCATCTGGGCTTGCTTCAGCTGCCATGTCATAGAATCTTTTTGCAAGATGAATATCCTAGATTTAAGAAAATACAAAGCTCAATTTTAAAGAACTTGAAAAAATTAACCCTAAAACGTAGAGCTTTTTCTATAAGCTACTGTATAGTGGCATTTGACTACAAGGCTTTTGGTCAAGTTAAATGAAAACCATTCAGTAAAACATCCCCTTTTTTTTCTGAGGGATGTTCATCTTTGGGGAAGCTTCAATCTGAGGATGTAGCTATTCTAACTGACGCTCACAAAGATTAACATGTTCAGCCTACACACTGTAAATCAAGGCACTTATTTAGGCAAATCTAGTACACCCTTAACTTTTCCAACACCACACCAAACATGAAATACAAAGAAAACACAACTCACGGAGGAGTACACCACAGGAATTCCTCCTAGTTATACCTCAGTATGTCTGCTGCATAGTGCAGCTTCTAACCATTTCTGCACATACTCCCACATTAAATTCTACTCCCTAACCAAAACGGATACAGCCTGCACTAGTGAGGGCAGCCTGGCAGAAGCATGAGCACAAACAGCCAGCAGCTTCAGGGAGAGCTTAAATTAGTGTTCTCTTCTGTGGTGGCTGGAACACAAAAGTCAACTGTAGCAAGACCAGAGAATATGTGCACCAGAATAGTTTAACTTCCCTTGTTTGTTTGGGTTTTCTTTCGATTCCCCTTCAGATACATACACTGCAAAGTCAGGATATTTGGAAACAAAGTGCTCACGTTCCCTCGCTGATGTGAAGGACAGGCTTGTCTAAGACTTGCCTCTGGAAGTGTTCCAAGTTGGACACTTAAAACAAGAAATCTCCAGGACTTCATGCCACACATTCATTTTATAATTTCATCCTGATTGTGAAATACCATAAAGATTTTCTGCTCATTGATACAGCAAAGTTTAGCTCCATAACACATGTGGAAATAACAGTATGAAAATTAACACATGATGTGAATGAGATGTACTAGCTCATGTTTTAGTATTTTAATTCAACAGAACAGCTCAGAAAAGCTGGAAAGTCTCTCTTCTGTATAATTACTGAAAAGAGTTTCCTTACCTCTTTTGTACTGTGCTAGTATTATTGTAGAAGCAGATCCTAACTGTAGGACTCTGGGCTTTAACACACAAATAGCACTGAAATACTACGCCAAATCTGAAGAGAAGGCCATGGGAAAATTAAGAGGAACTGAATCCTTTTTTTTTGAGCAGTACATGGAAACGGTCTTCATTCTGATATGCAAGCTCAGGAACTGAACAACATCCCATCTATGAAAAGTGTATAACAGGGTACACATGCAAGATTTCCAAGGGGCTGAATATTTGGCATTGACCTGATACAAGTATGAAATCCATTTATATACAGGTAGTACAGAATCCTGTATGTAACAAAGCCTATTTATTCAATATGAGAGAATAAGGCAAAAGCTGTCTGAAAAAAACAAACCAAACCAGTAAGAAATCCTGTGTTTATTTGGGATTACCCAGACAGAACAGCGACCTGAATTAGAGTTGTGCAGGCTACCTTCCTGGATCATTCTCCCTAACTCTGGAGTGCTTGCCATCTTAGTGATGTGGACATGTGTGGGGAGAGAGTAAGAGTACACATCCCTTCTTCAGCAGGCTAAATCCCCAATTCCTTAGATACTATAGTGCTACCATCTGTATACATCCCTTCCACAGGCCTCTCATGGGAGAGCAGAGTTCAGGGGTAGATATCACCTCCTGCATCAGGACCTTAACTCTCATTTTCAGAGGTGCTCAAAATTCAGCTGTTTCCATTCTGGGAAAGGAAAGTCAAGTATTCTTTCACTTCCTTCAAAACTCAGTCCTAGTCTTTTCCAGAATATCCTAGCCCAGCACCACTTTAGTCTTACCTAGTCAGTCCTAAACCTCCATCCTCTCATCTTACAGTTGTCTATGTGTCCTAAAACTTCACATTACCTATCTAGAATTCCCAAGACTGGCTTTCTACATGAAAATTCCTTGCTTAGAAATTTTCAGTGGTTCCTTCCCTTATCTATATTAACTTCATTTCCCTTGCAGTTCAACTCCTCCTTCTCTAGCAGATCCATATGAGAGGAAATAATTCACCTGCATAAAGCAAGGCTACGTTTCTCATCGTGAGCCCCTGCGTGCTCATTACCACTACCTGTGTGTAGCCACTTCTGCTTCAGATTGGAGAATACACAAATTATACCATTAAGACTAATTTTTTCACAAATTCTTAACACGTTCTGCTGAACATGATGTAGTAACTTTTTCAAAGCTTATTGCTTGCTCTAAACTAGGATATTTTCAGGGTAGAAGCAAAAAGAAATAAAATAGTATGTCTGAAAGGATGCTGTGGTTTGCTTGTTTTTTTTTAATTTTTTTTTTTTTTTTTTTTTAGACCTCCCAACTAGAACACTGTTGCTCTGAGCTGTGAGTTCATTTTCAGAAATTAACTCATTTAGGGGATTCATTTATTTTAGGAACGTTTTCCCTTTTTAAAATTAGAAGGTAAGCTTCAGAAATAATGCTGTTTGTGTATTGTATTGTCCCATTTACAGCTAGGTCAGTAAGCAGTTTTCAAATGCTGATTGCTTGCTGCTGCCAAAGTAACAATATTGACCTAAGACTTAACCTTCACTGTTCTGACTTCTTGCAAAAAATTTAAAAGACCAATTTTTGCTGCTTTTCCCCTAACAGACCAAAACTAATTGAAAGGTGCATACCCAGACAAAACCCAAATGCTGAAGCTCACTGAAAATAATCAAAACAAAACTATTTCTTACAGTTTCAGTTAACCCAGAAGTTATTACTAAATTAATACATTAATTGCATGAATTAGTCATATTAAGGTAAGGCAGGATGCTCAAAATTACTATGCAATTGCTAATCACATTATTTTGACACATAAAAGAACACATTCTCTGTAAAAGTTTTAGTGAACTCATGGACAGCAATACACCACAGGCTTCCTAAAAGAATACTGTCTTTTAGACAATGTAGTTTATAAAGCTAATTGTGGCTTAGCCTAATTTGAAAAACCATAGCTAATAATCACATCACTGTTGGTGCTTATGGTTTGTCACTTGACGATACACAGAACTTGGTTTCAAAAGGTCATGATATAAAAAACAAATAAAGCAGTGTTTCAGAGGATGAGAGCAATCTTGTGTTAAAATACTCTGAATCTGGAACTCGTTTGCATTAATGTCATTACACGTCCAAGTCTTGAAAGCATTACTCAAACATATTCCGCTCTTTTTGCCACTCTTCAGTTTGGGGTAAACAGGTTTTTTTTCCCCTGTCTGTACCTCATTTCTTCACATAGGTAAGTGTGAAGTGGACTACACTCATCCATTTGCTACAGGAGAATGTATTGGGAGACATGCTAATTCCTGCTAAGTGGTTATGTAGTGCCCCAAGCCCAGTAGCAGTTATAGACTTAATCTAGTACTAGTAAACACATTGTCACAAAGAGACTATCAGCCTACAGCTTACTCACCTGCTTGATACCCAGTCCCTTCTCATGCATGTAGCCCAGATTAAACATTGCTTGGGCACTGTGCTGTTGCTCTGATGCCAGTCGATAGTGAATAAATGCAGTTTCATAATCAACATCAGTACCAAAACCATAAAAATGGTAATCTCCAAGTTTAATTCTTGCAACAGTATATCCTATAAATCAAGAAACAACCGAAAAGATAAAATAGTTAGGCAAAGAAAACCCTTTAGTTTCATTTGAAGATGCAATAAGGGCTTTAATACTACTTACCACAGTTTGTACAAACTGTTTCCTCCGCCCCCCCCTCTTTCTCAAACAGAATTTTTTTTTTTTTGTTTGGGAATTTTGTTGGGGTTGTTTTGTGTGCTTGGAGTGATCCTACCAGTATTTTTATTGTCCTTTAGTGGCATTAGTTGAAAATCTCTGTCATGTTGTTCATGGTCACTTACTACAGAAAAGCTTTTCATTTGTTACACGGTCACTAGGGGCTTCAGCATTGTTTCTAAAACAGGGACACTGAGAACTTGAAATAGAAAGTCTTTCATCATCATTTGGTAATTGAATACTTAATCATTCCATCCTCTTAATTTCTAACTTTCTGCTAAAAACCAAGTCTGTCTGAGGATTTTCAGACAAAACTCCTAGGCTCACTTTGTACAATACACTTTCTCTAAGTAAAAAGATAGCTGACAAACATTAATGTAGATGCACCCATATGATAGGTAGAGGCATCATGCCGAGATACTGATTGACTAAGCTCAATTTTGCTTATTTTAGGATGAGATCATAAGCGCTAGTGTTTAAACCCGGGTTGGCTGGATGCTAAGATTGCACTCCTTGTCACTGAGCTTTCCTTCCTTTGAATAGGAAATTGCATCTCTTACAAATTACGACAAGTATCAAAATCAAAAAAAGTGCTTTTTATCTATTATTCCAAATGCATTTATTTTCTAAAAAGTCTATGTAAACATTGCTAATGCTGTTTAACATTGTTCTGTAATTTCATATGAAACGGCAAAAGAAGCACATTGTACATTTGTGGTTCAGTCCTTTTACTCTTCAGGGTCTCAGACTGGCTCAGAACTGTAAGCATATTGCAATGACATTATAGCTGAGACAAAGGAACAAAGAACAGCAGCTACCCTACATGGAATATAACTGACATTGAACAGAAGAAGGTAAACGTTCTCCTTCTCCATTTCATAAAAAACATGAAACCAAACATCAACGGTTCTACTGAAAATAAACTGATTAAAATTCTGAGGTAGAAACATACCTTGAGAAGCTGCCCTATTCCAGTGAAGCAAAGCTCGAGGATAGGTTTCATTTTCTCCTACTATGCTAGCTTCTTCTAGAGAAAAAAGTAATTCAGTTAAATAGGAGCATGGTACATGCATGCACACAAGACCACAAAAATTTCTCATATTTATATTCAGCCTGCTAAAATAAATCCAAAACTCTAAGTAATCTGTGCTATAGCATGAACAAGATTCAACTCATTTGAAACTTAAAAAACCCCTTCCATTTACATGGTCTTTCCATGTATCTACCCACATAAGAGCTAGGAACAAACCGTATCATTTCACCCTGAAATATTGGTTACCGAGTGTCTCTCCTATTCCTGCTCTAGGAGATTCTGAAGCATACTTGAGGAATGCCAGAAGATGTAAGTTTTAAGAGCACTCTGTTTGGGCTCTGACAAAGATACGCCCAAATGCAAGGCTGAAGTATTTTAGTTTGACCATCTAAAAATCAAGACTAGTCAAGTAAAACAAAGGCTTTAACTCCTTAACTAGCCAGAGACTGCATTATTTTACTACAGCTACTTCAGAACAGAAGTTATTTCACCTGTATGTGTCATAAATTGAAGGTTACTTAAGTATCAGAGTTCAGACAGTTCAAAGGATTTGTAACTTTTTTCTGTGCTAGCGTAAGTATGGTTTCAGCTATACTGTCTTATGGTTTACATGCAGATTCTCTGTATGAAATGCATAAAATAATTTAAAATGCATCTCCAGTCAAGATGCAGACATATCCAAGTAATGGCAATGAGAATTTTAGTCCAAGGAAAGATGCAATTTCTTTTCAAGAAGACATTCCTAGCCAAGACTATAATTCCTATAGCTTATATAAAGATGAGTCACAAAGGCACCTTTGAAAAACATTAACTGGAAGTTATGATGCAAAAATTATCATATCAGCCACCAATAACCAATTAAGATACAAAGCCCTTAAGTTGGCAACAGGAGACCTAGCTTTCTAGATTCGAGATCCAGGAAGTTTAAATTTCTGGGGTTTGTAGTTTTTAGAAAGATTTATCACTTGTACTTCCATTGTAGCACTGTTCAGTGACCTCAAACTCTAAGAAATCCAAGTTCTAGCCACCTAGTTGCAATGAGAGACCTGGGACAAGTGTTTTCAAATCTAACAGAACCAACTGTCCAGCTCTTCATTACTGCTTCAAGAGTAGTATGAGTAACGTCAAAAAAAATCTGGAGAAATAAAGAAGTGCTGAGAAAAGACATTACAAGATAAAGAACAAAGGAAACTGAAGCTTGTATGCACAGTAAAGGCCAAAGGTAAAAGTAATGCAATTCCTACATTATAGATTTAAAAATAAAATGTTTAGGTCTGTGTTTAGAAAGTCCAGGGAAGGGAGTTTTAAGCACTAATTTTAAAAACGGGGTAGGGAGAGAACACTTTAGAAAGTCAAAATTTAAGTGCATTCTAACTTTTAGGCCAGAAAGCTACCCTTTGAGCTTTTAAAAAAAAAAAAATTAGAACTGACTGCTTTCCAGTGTGAAGAGCAGGAAAGAGGACAAGAGTCTATGAATAAGGTGTATGTAATTATATCTTCAAGCACTCTAGTGCTCTACTAAATGGGCTAGTACACGTCAACTCCAAAAGAAGCTTTCAGTACAAATTCAAGTCCTTACTCTGATCCAGTATGAAAGCAGCATTGCTTTGTGCAACTTCATAGCCTTGCTCTGCCAGAAGAAGATACTGAACCACAGCAGAATTTGAATCACCATCTTTATAGCTGTTGTAGGCAGTCATCAGTCTTTCAGACCAGCGGCCCCGTTCGCATACGTTCTTAAACAACTGAAAACAAAAAAAAAGGTGGGGGAGAAGAAGACTGGTTGTTATGAACTTCAGAAATTTAGGTTTTGCAAAAGATAAACTTTTAATATTTTGAACAGGCATTTGAATATTTACATTTCAGAGGAAAAACGTAATAGACAAACTCACTGTTTAAGATAGGGATACCTTAAGGTACAGGCTGCTAAGCAAATACATGCCAAGATTCAGATGCTTACTCAAAATTACTGTTTATATCAGCTTTGTTACACTTAAACCAATGTTTAAATTAATAAATCAGTACTTACAAAATACTGATGTTTGCTTTGCATTACATTCTTTTGATTTTCTTCAAAGTTAATAAGACAAATACAAACTTGCCATATCAGCATAAAAAAATAAAGATTTTTCTCATGAGATACAAAGGAGTTTGACAATTATTACTTTTCCTTTTTATAGCCTTGGCTCTACAGTCACTAGTGGGTTTTAGCTAAGACAAATTTCATATATAAGCTGACATGGTTATATACAACCTCTTGCAAGTCAATATTATTTGGCCTTTATACATGAATGACCTTACCTCAACAGCAGTGTGGCAGGAACGCATCACTCCAGTGCCAGTCGCATGCATCTGAGCCAGATTATAAAAAGCCAGAATGTGGCCACCCTGGGAGGCCAAGTTAAAATACTTCAGAGCTTGTTTATAGTCTCTCTTGACTCCAATGCCATCTAAAAGACAGAATAAGTTATTGCTGTTTGTTCCTCTTAAAAAGCAGAGTTGTATGAAATCGAGTATGTAGTTACTCTTTAAAATTATTAAAGAAAAACATTGTGGAAGTGTTAGGAAAAGACCAGAATAAAATAAAAGTTAAATGCACTAAGACCACCCTACATGTAGTATGTATACACTAATGCCACCTAGTGAACAGTTACTGAAAGGGCAGATACTCAGACCCAGCAAATCATCACTTTGATGCCACTTACTGTAATACATGGAACCTAGTTGAAGTTGTCCATCAACCCATCCCTGTTCTGCAGCCTTCTGGAAATACTTCAGTGCCAGCTCATAGTTCTGCAGGAATATTTGGTCTAGTCAGAGCCTTGCAATACACCACAATTTAAGTAAAGAAAGAAAATACACATGCACACATGTGTAAGACAGATCTGTTTTACAGAAGAATCCCAGAGAGATGTGCCAAGATATTTACCTGGTCAAAATTTGGAAAAAAAAAAAAACAACAAACCACAAATAGCCTACTATGGTATTAGTACATCTTAAATTTGTAGCCACCTCAAAGCTGGCATCTACTTATAGCACTGGTATGAACAGTTATTTTCAAAGCATTCCTCCACTCTCACAAGAGAGACAAAACGGGGACAGTTACTTCAGAAGAAAATTAGAACCAAGTACAAAACTCTGGCTAAAAATTCACACTGCTAAGCAATTCTAATAGCTTCACCAACATTTTCAAACTTAGTAGAGGGAACTCAGTATGTTTCATAGCTGCTAACTCCAGTGATTTTTTTTTTTTTTTTTTACTATTACAGATTTCCTCATGGAGTTTTCAGTATAACAGAAACCTTCACAATTGAAGTACTTCCCTCCAGAGAAGAAGTCTGTAAACAACAGGGAGTTACACAATCACGAATGATTAAAAAGACAGCAGAAAAGCTTACCACGGGCACACCTCTTCCGTAGAGGTAAGCCATTCCTAATCCACTCTGGCCAACTGGATTACCCTGAAAACACAGGAAAACAGTTCTGCAAAGAAAGGCAAAACTTACAGCTACATCTTTCAAATTTGGTATGTTTTTAACATCATTAAGCCAACTAGTGCTTAAGATAGATGCACTTTGTAACTTTGCTCCTAGTAAGTAATAGATATTCAGGGGGAAAATAGCATCTTTAGCAACTTTTATTTGATAAATACACAGGTGATTAAGAGGAAAAAGGAAAGTTTTCCAGACTAGTTATGAAAGTGTACTGTGCACTTTCAGAAAGTCCTATGGCATGTACAACGCAGACCCATAGAAAGGTGGGGCACTAATTGCTTATTTATCTGCAGTTTTTCCAAGCTGGACATGTTCTGGATGCTACAGAGGCTCCCAAAACAATTACAGGAACCCCAAGAATCTGTCTCAATTTAAGGGCAGATTGGTGGCTGTCCTGTGGGCTGTTGCTGCCCACTGCCCCTGCAAAAGTATTCACTATGGTGTTCCTTCAGTACTAGGATAGTGTTGTGGTTTGAGGCTTGGGGGTGGGACAGGTGAAGTCTAGGACCCAGGAGGGTCTGGGTTGGGGGGGGCACGGGGAGGAAAGGGCAGATATTCCCTCCCCCTTCCTCTGCCACCTCTTTAAAAGAGGCAGGAAGTGGGTGTCTCTGTTCTCTTGCCCTTTTGCTCATGGTGTTGGTGTGCTGGAGCATCAGTGTGCCTGATTCCATGTGGCTGTGAGCAAATTGTGTGCCATCTGAGATTTGGGTTTTGTCTATCTTGTGTTTACTCTGTATTCCTCCCATCTTTGTATATATCTACCTCCCTTCTTGCTTTCTGTTCCCTGTTAAACAATATACTTTATATTTATTAACTTCGAATTGGTGCAGAGCCTATCTTACCCCTGCCTTCCTTTGTTTGTTTATCTCTCTACCTGGGGAAAACTGAGGGATAGGGAGGGGGAACACAAGTTCTGCTTCCTGGGGTCCTGCCCTGAGTCCTTAAACAGAGACAGACAGGCAACAGGACACATCAGAAATCTCCAGTGAATGTAGGAAATGAGCAAGTTGAGAGATCCTTACTCTAGGATGAAGGGACAGAGCAGCAATCTAACTGTGGAATGCAAGAACTGTGAAGACAGTTATCTTACAACAGTACCTTCAAAACTTCATTTACTGTGTTTCACATGCTAAACATCTTCCCTGGAGGACCACTCATGCTTTAGCTGTACAATTGCTACCATAAGGGATAAGTCAAAGACAGACATGAGGGATTAACAGCCAAAAAAAGATCACTCCAATGAGATGAGAGGTATAAAATCAAAACCATTATCTATTCACTGACCATAAAAGAGAACCAAAGTAACACAGTAACAGTGCACTATAAAGTTGTGACAAGACAACTTCAGATTAATGAAAATTAACATTTAACAGAATTGCAGGCTATTTAGGTGGACAATATTTCATACTGATGCCAGTATTCATGAGTGTTGGGCTCCTTGTGCTGAACTCAACTTCATGTAGCACCATAACCAGAACTGGAGGCCATTTCTGACATATTAAGTCAAGAAGGGTTTAATTATGGGCTAATCTGGGACAGAAACTGGGACTAGGTGTATGCCCACAGAAGTGCACATGAAGAAGCATTTGCAGCATTTCCAAGCTAATCAACCTTTTAGGACATATGTTCTGTTTCTACCTTACAGATAACCATACCATATCAGCAGCTTTCTTGAAATACTGAAGAGCTGTTTCATTGCTCTGAGGTACAACATCACTCCCTTCTGAGTACATCTGAAGGAGAAAGGCATTATTGAAGAACAGGTGAAGAAGTCAATTTAGCGTGAAGATCATGAAGCATCCTCACTTTGCATATGAGACTCAGTTCCTTGTAATATTAGGCTGTTCTTGCTATGGCATTACTGAGTAATCAAGAACTTTCCCAGAAGCAGAACACACATCTCTGTGCTGTAAAATTCAGATTCAGAGAGTTTAACTTTCCCATGGAAAATGAACTGCCCATAAAATCAAAGTTTTTCATGAAAACACTTCATTTTCAAGTTCTACCAGTGTGCAGCAAAGAATGCATAATCAGGCAAAAATTGTGTGTGGCCAGTGGAAGTCAAACTATATTGGCAGTTAAAATACTTCTTGAAAACAAAGCGAACCCTGATTACTAAACCCTGTTCATTTCAACATTTATTAGTTAAAAATAATAGTATTTGTACTATTATAGTGGAGAAAACAGGAACCTGCCATCTCTCCTGACAGGTGCCTTGACCAGCACGTTGTGCTATTTTTTCATGCTCCGAGGACATGACTTTTGCATCCTCTACTGCAGTAAAAGATTGAAAAAGATGAGCTAGAGCTGCTGCTTACTGCAGTCAAACCTTTGAGGGTACTCAAAAAAACCTTAGAGGGTACCAGCAGCAGCTTGTCAATCATGTTTTAGGATATAAAAAGGATTTAAATCTGAGAAAACTGATACAATACCCACACTGCAGAGAGACTCAGGCGCCACAACTCTTTACACAGAACAAGAATACAGATGTCTTTCCCCTTTCATTTTCTAATTTACAATTTCCCACTAGGCACAACGTTGAGAAGCCTAGCTTTCCCCCCACACACTGTGTGGATGTGCACAGTGGCCTACTGTTTTGAACTCCACCACAGAAAAAGGCCACTTAGGTATTCAACTACTTAATTTTGTAAAAAAATCTAGTTCAAGTACTACTTAGATGAAAACAAAAGTTCCTAAAGTGAAGGAGGAAGTAGAAAATTTAGCCAAGACAGATTACAACACTCAAATCTTGCAGGACAAACCAAAATAGTAGCAAAACAGAAGTACTTAGATTCCAACATTTAAGTTTTAGACTGGCCAATATCAGAAAATAGGAAATATTTGTTATTTTTTGTTGAAAGACAGTCAAGTTGTTCACTTTTGAGAGCATTCATGTCTTACCTTTCCTAGAAAGGCCATGGCATGTGAATTGCCAGCATTAGCTGCTTGACTGAAGTACTCAAACGCTCGCTGTAGGGAAGAAAACAAATATTTTAGCCACCATGACTGATTTGAGTACCTTTCTAAGTGGAGCAGAGGTGAGGAGGTTGTTTGCTAAGCTACCAGGTTCTCCTGGGGATGACACTTATCAATTGCCCCTAATTTAATAAATGTAACAGGGTTCCCCACTCAGAAATGGAATATAGAGTATTCAGCATATTCCAAAAAAGCAGAGGGAAAAAAAACCAAAAAAAACCAAGCAAACAAAAAACACACACTACAACAGCTACTACGCACAAGCTACACAGGAGAATCCTACTTCCTTATTGTACCTCCAAATCCTGTTTAGGAGAGATATGCCACTTCCCATTCCAGTTTTACACAGAGCTTGGTTATACTCATTCTGACCACTTGGTATCATCTCTGAACCCTTCTACAGCAGCCATCGTAAAGTATTTCAAATGTGATGACCATTAAGTAATTTCTGGTTGGTAACTGAGCCTGAAATAATCCTCAGGACTGCACTTCTTCAGCTCGACATTTTTTCAATACATACTTTAAGAAGAGGTTAGCCATTTTAACTTCTATAAGCAGTAGCTAGGTTGGCTTACATCATCAGTTCTAATTTCTGTGTATACTTAATAGCCTTCGTATTGAAGGTTGCACTGTTTTGCTTACAGAAGCAAAATATTCATGCAAGCCACAAACTATACTATTGCCACTAATACATGCACAGTGTGTCAAAGATTTTGTTATATGTACAACAGCTCAGTTTCAGGTGCTTCTGGATGAAAAGCTGGTCATTGTTTTTGACTTCCTAATTTCTAAGATGATTAATCTTAAACTAATTGTATATGAAAATCAGCTCCATGTACTTGTCACACAAAGATCAAGCTTTACTCAACAAGACTACTCTTAATGCAGTCACTAAATACCTTACAGTTGTACTTAAACACTTTTGCTTCACCGTGGTCTCAGCTACACTTTCTCCCCCTTCACCAAGTGTAATATGCATCAGAGATATACAGAAGGGGTACCTGATGATTTTGCTCTACTCCTCTTCCTCCATGTAAATGCAACTGTCCAAGGCCAACCTAAAAATAAATTTTTACATTGCAAATAAGTCACTTTTCCACAGGAACTTTCTTTTTCTTTTACTACAGATAACCAGTGAGCTGGTTATTGGTACAAAGACAGACCATGTCAGAGGTAAAGATTCCACAAAGCCTGAAAGTACAGATTTGCTTTAATAACTGCAATACAGACTTATTTTTTCCACATTAGCCTAAGTAGAAATTTATCCTAGATATTTTGTATCTAGGACAGTCATGACACTAAATAATTGTTCATTTGGATTCTGCCTACGCAAACGTTTAGTCCTATACGACCAACTGAACGGTGACCGTTGGCCTATACTGGTGTCCTCCCCCAGCATTTTGTGCTGAAGAGGTTCAGCCTGCAGCATGCAGAAATCATGTAAGGGCAGAGCAGCAAGAAACTGAGGTCCCCTGCCAGGACCAGTCGTTTCGATCAAGGTTCACTCCATGACATCTAAAGCTATCCTTAAACTAGTCTGGCTGGTTTCTAGTGAAATCCAAGACCCGCTTTCCTAAGATACTACTGTTTTAGTGTTTTGCACTTATTTTCCACAAAAGAATTGCATTTTCTGTCCAAGTTCGACCTTAAACACACTAAAATACAAGCCTCTTATAAAAGCTAGTCAGGAAATAGCTACCAGGTTGATTTAGGGGGGAAGAGAAAATTAAAACTCTAATGTCTTCCAATATTTCATAAAGTTCTTCCCACATTTCTTTAAAACCTTGGCATGCCATCAGGTGAACCTCATCTCACCTGTGCTTGTACATCTCCTTTCTCTGCTAAAAACTGGTAATACTGAATCAGGTCTTCTTCTAGCATCCCACTTGCCATTCCTGGATTTTCTACTTCATCTGGTAAGCGAATCCGCTGGACCACTGTGCCACCAGTCAAAGAAATGTCACTAGCAACTGGAAAACAGAGAAGATGAATTTTCAGACACTTTTGTTCAAAACAAATATTACCCTGCAACTTACTGAAAACAGATCTCTACAGACCTTCAAAGTGTTACTCAGAGTATTAGTTACTTTGACAGTCTAAGAAGACATCTCAATAGCTAGAGATAAAAACTGCACATCATGACACAGAGCCAAACAGATCACTTGTGTAATTCTCTATTTTTATATTATTAATGTTGGTAGTCCTTCTAGTATCTCCCAGGTGAATGCTACAGAGATTCACAGAAAGTCAAGAACGTTAGCCTAGTAAAGTTTTTACCATGATTAGCTACAAGTCGGTAGTGAGTGAGAGCAGATTCACAACTCTGAAGGACTCCTATCCCCGCCCAGTACCGGTAACCCTGGAAATGAAAACAGAAAAATATGGGGCTGTCGATTCTTTAACAACATACCACTTGCCAGTTTAAACTTTCTTACATGACTTCAGCAAGATTTGATGAGACAATAGGCAAAACAAAGGCCACAAGTCCGTTGTGTCTTCATTAAAAGCAACTGACCGATACCATTAAAGGTTAAGCATAGCCAATATACCTCAGATATTACTCAGGAAAATGCAAATAAGTATAATTCTTACTTATGGGTGAAAACCTAAAGACTTTTACATACACCTGTCACACTATTTGTCTTAAATATCACATCACTGATTAAACCAGCATCTTCCGGGAAGCTACAGAAGGCTGGAGAGGGACTTTTCCCAAGAGTGTGCACCAACAGGACAAGGGGAAATGGTTTTAACCTGAAGGAGAATAGGTGTAGACTAGAACTGAGGAAGAAGTTCTTCAGTACAAGGGTGGTGAGACTGGAATAGATTGCCCAGGGAGGTTGTAGATGCCCTCTCCCTGGAGGTTTTCAAGGCCAGGCTGGATGAGAGGCCTCAAGCAGCATAGTCTAGGTAGAGGTGACCCTGCCCATGGCAGGGAGGTGAGATTAGATGGTTTCTAGGGTCCCTTCCAACCTAAGCCATTCTATGATTCTGTAAACATCTCTGGCTTTCACAGTTCTAACAGCCTACAAAAATTAGAAGTCTCACACTTCTGCTTTAAATGAAGAAATGTAAACACGGTCAGTCTAAATTCAGTAGTATACAGCTTAAAATGAGCAGACTTTTCCTTCAGTTAACAAATAATGGGGAAGATGCTATTGCCCACCCCATGCATGCATGGTGACCTAATACTTGGACAGCGTATTCACATCAATGCAAATCTTACATGAAAAATTTAAGAGTACAGAAAAGTTCATGCATGTTTGAAGTTATTAACTATCTTACTTACCAAGATCATATGGGCGATCAGATTTCCTCCTAAGGCTCCAAAAGTGTAATACACCAGGGCCTTAAAACAAAATAATTGATTAGGCTCTGCCTCCAAGATAAAATACAAGAGCACACACTGAAGATTTCTAAGTTACCTTGGCTTGACTAGAATTGACTCCTAGACCAGACGCATATAGAAATCCAAGTGCCTAGAAATAAAATAAAGTTTTTCAGCATATCCTTTGAAAAATTCAGGATCAGGTTTCCTGGGATACATAAAGAAAAAGAAGTCAAACAACAATTCAAAGCTGCAAAGAATATGCTAAGCTCTACCTTCCCTTTGGTACCTCCTACACCCAGGCCCTTCCTTGCCCCTTTTAAGGTATGATGTTCCTAAATTTCTATTCAGTTGCCTAAGACACTAACATAAATAAATCTCACCAGAACTCAGCCTAGTGGATTGAAGGCAAGGAAGAAACTACTTCCCTGAATGCCAGGTGTAGAACAAAAGGTCCTGAACAGTAGAAGTATCCTGGTTCAAAGATTCTCCAGTGAAGCTCAGCAGTACCTGTCAGGTTGTTCATGTGTCCTCTCCGTCTCATACACCAGTGCAAACATACACGAACCATGGCCATCTCTACATGAGTCTTACTGTTTGATTTACTGTCTAACAGCTCCTATGAATTTACTTTTTGCACCTGTTCTGCCATGGGTTACTTGCACTTCTGACTATAAATACAAAGAGTTAAAATGCCTAGAGCTGTTTGCCTGAAGTTTTTTCAAGAGTTATTTTTATTCTTAGAATTTCCATAATTACTGCTGTCTGTAACACCTGCCACAGCTGTAAAGCTCAGAGGAGAAACCAGCAGCACAGAGGATAACAGTATATATTTCCATTTCTGTATTTCACAGTGTTCTAAGACTATTCTAGTCAATTTTGAAAGCTCACAGGCAAAAAAACCAAAAAACCCAAACCAAACCAAAAAACCCAAAAAAACAAACCATCAATCGCCTCACACAGACAGGTATGAATTTTACACCAGTAAAGTCAAGGTCTTCATTGAAATATAAAGTCTTCAGAGAAAACATGTTCCTGCTTTCTGTGGCAAATTAACACTCCAACATTAAACAGAGAACAGCATGAGACCTGGTAGCCACGGAGCTAAAAGAAACGCACTAATTCTTAGCTGACACTTCCAAAACAAATGAGAGAACTGAACAAGTATATGCAGATATTGAGACATTAGAACTGGTAACACCCACATTTTATGACATTACTCAGGAACAATTATATATAAACAATTTTATAATATCCAAGGGCACATGGACAAAGTGAGACTTGTTCCACTAAACAGCTTTCAAGATTCCTAGGAGTTTATAACTTCCTGGATTATAAACTTGTGTGGGTACATCTACTTATTTCAAAGATAAAGCTGCACATGAAAAACCACAACATCCCACACAAACCACAAGAAAAAACTAACAGTTTCAAGGAAGATTTGCTGGTTTGGAGTTACCTGTATCTACCTATTTTTTTAACTTAAACATTCTAGTCAGTCAAACAACAGGTAAGAAATTAAAAGACCATCACCATACTATATTACTTGTAGTTTAATGTTGATTTTAAAACTTAAGGACAACAGACCCGTGTTTACCTTGAGGGTGGAGGTACCATTTGTTATCGTACCCTCAGAAATACTAGCAGAAGCTAGGTAAAGCAGAAGCATTTGGGGGACAATCTTTGAACTGAAGAAAGGCACTGGTGAAATTAGTAATGTAAAAGGCAATGGGTAGTCATGATCAGGAAATGCTCAGGCAAGCATTAATAAGATACACTTCCTGAATCAGAACCTGAATCAAATGTTTTACATGAAGTTTTCAAGCAATTTTAAAAAGCAGCACTCTTGTCTGCTGTCTTTTTTAACCAGGCAGCAAATACCACTTACTGTTCTCATTCTCTTCTGGATGCAAGAAGAATCTATAAAAGCACCTTAGAATAAGTACAACATATTAAACAATTCATGAGCCTATAAAAGCTTCTGTAGAATCTAAGGACATACATACCATTTGTCCTTTAGGAGAACCTTCTTCTGTTAGTTTTTCAAATAGTTCTTTCGATGACTGGATGTTCTGCTTCAGGTAATCCCCAAACAACAAAGCGTAAGAGACTTTCTCCATTGCCTTCGTATGATTCATGTCTGCTGCCTTCAGAAGATACTGATATGCTCTGAAAAGAAAACAATTTCTTAGTCACCTTCAGGCCAAGAAGTAGATTCCATTCATAAACATGAAGATTCTGGGGAGGGATTTTTTTTTTTTTTTTTTTTTTTTGCTCTGTTTTAGCCTCTGTATAGCTTCCACAAATGCATCTACCTACAGTCATTTGTTTCAGCTTCCAATCATCAACATGAGCCGGCAGTGTGCACTT